TAATCTTGCTTTAATGAAGAACTAATGGACGCGTTGCAAATTACTCCCCCCCCCCACCCCTCATCTCACCCTCCCTCCCCCACACCCACTGTATGATTGAACAAGGGCTCGGGAGGGTGAAGAAAAAAAAAATCTATTTCCTGCTTTTGAAAAGATCAAGAGTATCTTTGATAATGGTGAGAGCGTCACCGGCAGCTTCACTGCATCGAGCCAACAAGCCTCTTTTGCCCAAATCACAATTCAGTGGAGAGGAGGCCACAATTAGTGACAAAGCAGAAAGAGCGCTGCGGGGCCCGGGCGAGCAGAAAGCCTCCCGGTGCTCCAGGCTCCTTGTTAGAAACAGGCCCTGGAGGTGTCACACAGGAACAATGAGGCCTCATAAATTACCCCTGGAAAAAAAAAAAGAGAGGAAAAAAGATGTACTACTAATTTTCAATTACACCTATAATGCATTCCCGATTGGGGAGAGAAATTGGACATGTGTGGAGGAGAACAAACAGTCGTAGGCTCAACACACCTCCCTCTGTTTGTGACACCGCAGCCTGTGATACCCGGAGTGTATTAGCAATGAATTACATGGTGTTTAATATAGCAGCGCTGGTGATTTAGCTCCACGGAGATCCAGAGAGAAAGAAGAGGATTGAGTGTCGGTGCCAAATAATGTCTCGTCATTACATTAGATTTTTGTTAAAGGATAATCACGACAAAGAGAGAGAGAGAGAGAGAGAGGCACAAAATTGCATTCTTATCTAATTTAGCCTAATTTCGAAAAATGGTGTTGTTGTAGGGAAAAGGGAACATTTGTGCAGACCGAGAGGGAAGAGAGGAGGTGGAGGAGAGAGTCTGAAGTGTGGGAGAACTGCCCGTCTGTAGCTCTCTGAACCACTTAAGGGACGCTGTGTTTCAAACTGGCATCGCTAACGCATGATGTTGTAGAGAATATATCAAGGCCAAATAATAGTGCTTGAAACGGGTGAAAGGAGATGTGAGAACTGAGGAGGGTCGGACATGTGGAAAACATGTGTATCTGTCCTCGTGTGTGTGTGTGTGTGTGTTTGACTACAGCAGCAGCACGGCAGAAAGCCTAATGGGAGTGGGCTTAACTCTTGCACACAGCCTCGCTACATATCTGATTACTGGGACCAGTAATTTTCTTTCCTTAAATAAGGAAGAAATTGGATAGGATGAATGAAATTTGGCTGTCGTATTGCAGTGATGGTGCAGCATGGAGATTATGTGTTTCACATAATCGTTCATCATTTCCCAACCAGTGTTCAGGCTTAGCATAATGGAATTGGTAAACTGGTTTAAATCAGAACGTGAGGACAGACTATCAGGCCGAGCGTGAGGGTCTGTGGTAATGTCTTCAGACCGAGCAGAATATTTTCACCACAGAGCTACACACACACACACACACACACACACACACAACAAACACTACAGGAACACGCTGTCTCCATCGCTGATTCTCCACAGAATCAGAAAACGTAAAAAAAAAAAAAACGCCTCAACATCTTTCAAGATACTTTTTTTTTTTTTGGGCAATAATTCAGCTTCAGTTCTGTTTTTTTTTTCAGGCATTGACTTGAATAATAACCTGTAGTTGTGTCATTGTCTTTGAATTTAAATGCACAGAGTTATGACTGTGACTTATTCTTTAATTATTCAGACGTTGGAGGTCACTGCAGCAAATCTGATGGAGCGAAACCTGAAAATGTTTTAAATGTCTTTACTCTGCATCGTGTGCTTCACAACTTCTTTTACTCAATATTTACCACAGATTGTTTCCCTGCCGAATTATTTCTTTCCTTATAATTGTCTTTCTTTAACATTTACATAGATTTCATTTATTGTTGTTATACGTTTACCTGTCCATGTGGCTCTTTGAGAGATGATAATGTTTTCTTCTTATTATAAAATATCATCCAACCATCCGTTGATTACACGGCTGTGTTGCTTCTCTATCACTTGTTGAACTGATGAATGACACCTGAGTGTTTCTCCCTGGAACAAAAAACACACTTTCATTTCATCGTCTAATTGAAAATGAAGATTTAGTGCAAAAAGCTTTACACAGCACAATTTGAATGATGAATATAGATTATATATGTAATATTTAGTTATTATTCTTATTATTAATATTATTTAGTTATTATAATATATAAATAGCTGTTTTATTTCAGGTCTTGGTTTTGGGGGATTGTTCTTCGTTGTCCTTATTTGGGGAATTTTCACCAGATCAATTAACTTTAAATAACAGTTTATTTCATGGGAGGAATGAAGACAAACGTTTTCTTCCATGAACTTTATGTCTGATGAGGTTTTGCATTTCAGTCCAATCAGACAGCTTCCTTTTTTTTTTTTTTATATGAACATTGACCAAATCCAAAATTGCTCCAGTAAATACTTTTTATATTACAATATTGTTTGTTCTTGTGTTTTACTCACATCAGATCAACTCTATTGAGGTTTATTTCTATGGTGTGGTTGTGGCTCAGGAGGTAAAGCGGGTCGTCCCTTCACCAGAGAGTTGTTGGCAAGATACTGAATCCCAAACTGCTCCTGACGACTGTGTCAAAAGTACTGCTCATAGATGCACTTTGTGTGTGTGTGTGTGTGTGTGTGTGTATCGTAAAGTACTTTGAGTCATTAAGACTCGAAAAGCTCCGTATAAATACAAACCATCTACAAATACCATGATTCTGATTTCCTCTGAGAACAGTCCCCAGGAGGGAAACTGTTGGCCACTAGGTGTCACAGTGGCTGTTTGTAAAAGATGAGCTTCACTGACAGATACACCCAGTGAGCTCTGACCAGGATCCATCGACAGAACCTGAGCAGCTGCAGAGCAATCGTACTGAAGAATATGATTTTCTAAACAAACAGTTTCTGACAAGCACCAGTCTCCAGCTGTGCAGGAGCTTCTGACGATCAGAGGACGAACACATGATGTTGGAATCACAAACCATCAGCGTCTGTGCACCAGATGTGACAGTATACTTCCAGTCAAGTTTTAAAGATGTGATACTGTGATGAGCTGTGTTGTGTTTTTCGGGAATCAAACTACAGCACATGTGAACTTCAGACGACTTTTCTTTTTTGTTGGAATTAGTTTGCCTTTACTCAGAATTGAAGATTTTACTTCATCGTCAGTTTGTCCAGATCCAAAGTACAATGTCAATAAAAAATATATAATTTTGCTATAACATTATTCAAATTAAAGGTATTTTCCAAGCTTTTTTCCACGAGACCTTTTCTAGAAGTCAAATGACACCGTTTCAAATTGAATATGAATGTCGGGACTTGTGGACACATGGATGACATCACAGTGTGGAGGCATGTTGTGTTTTTTTTTTATTACGGCCACTATTTACTTCAATTTTATCGGATTCAGCTGCTACAAAGTTTACTTCTTAGACTCCAGAAATATTTTGTAGACTCAATCACTTCACCCACCCCTCCGTCATAGTGGTGCAGTAGTAATAATGAGAGAATTTTCATTTTTCAGCGAACTATCCCTTTAAACATCTAAAGACTATCACAGCACTGATATGCAACAAAACAGTTTCAATGGCCCTGCCTCTGAAAACCATGCTTCTAACGTCAATGGAAGAAAATGAGGAAGGAAAGAAGAGAACGCTGCCGTCAGAGGGCGCCTGAAGGACAGATACCCTGAATCTGCTCATCGGGACTTCCTTCATTAATGCACAGCTTCGTGTGGAGAAGGCTTTCTGTGAAAACATCTCTCCTCAGACATTCTGACCACCACATGCCAGGTAATGAACTTATTTTAATTGTAAAAAAAAAAAAAGTCATAATTGCTTTTCATCATTTGAAATATTAAATTATACATATATTTTATTGTTTTTGTCATTTAAATGTGCAGAATGAAGCCACAGAGACATCAGAGGGCTTGTCACCTACAGGAGAATCAACAACGTCTCCTGCTGTCAAGAATTCAGCCACGGCCCAGTTTGGCGAGCTCCTCACGCCTGAGGTGGGAATCAGACCTACTTTGCAGCTGGTGAATGAAGAGGTAACCTTATACAGGGTCTCCACCTCACTGGGGTCCAAGCCCCTTGCACGGTGAAATACCACCGAGCACAAATATTCTCATGTTGCCATGTTAGCAAAGCGCTGCCTGGCTGTTCCGGAGTGTTCTCCCCAGCAGGAGACGAAAAACATGAAAATACAATAAATGTCACAGTCCTAGAGTTAATATTAATACTACAGCACAGTTCACCAGCTGGTTCTCTACATGCTGCCGCTTCATGAACATATCTCATGTTTCTAAAAAACAAGCTGAAAGCTGCTGATGTTAAGTACAGTACAAGTGCAGGTACTTTTCTAAAGCTGAAAGCTGCTAATTGGAATACAATCACAGTACAGTTTGAGTTCTGTTCATTTTCTACATGCTGCACCTTAACACAAAGACACAACCACAGTGTGTTCAGTTAACCAAAGTTAAATAAAGAGAAGAAGAAGACATAGCTTATTGACCTCAGCAGTTCCCAGGAGGTGGAATGGCACCTCTCCAGCTACCGGTCCACCTTCCATACTTTCAGTCCATGCTGGACTTGAACCGACCACTCTCTGGTTCCCGAGCTAAATCTCTATGGACTGAGCTACTGCTGCCCATCATGAGTTACTGTCGCCCATGAAAGAGAAATGAAACAAAACGGTTTTCTGGTTTCTGTTCCTTGTTTCTGTTGTGACCTCAAAACTGAGGTAACGCACCACACCGGGATTTTACCGTCACACCGCTGCCGAAGTGACAGCTGAAAATGTATTAGTGTCACACGTCAACTTTATTCATGTAGAACATTTAAAACAACTTGGGCGACCGAAGTGCTTTACAAAGTAAGAGGTGCCACAAGAAAACACATCAGAACACTAATGATAATCAAATGTCTGGGGGGTTTTCAGGGTCCTGTCCATGTTGGGGTCAGCTCCGCTCCGCCCCTGCTTTGAGGTTAGCTCCTCCATGAGCCTCCATGAGTCGGATGTGTGTCTCATGTAAGTAACGACATGTTATTTGACAGCGCTGGTTTTTGATTTCATCCTGGAACCCGGTAAACAACACTGACACGTGTCACCTCTCACCTGCCCTGACTTCAGCCCCTGATGCTCCCAGCAGCACCTGTCGTCCCAACATCCTTTGCGTGTCCAATATGGAGGAACTGGCGGTGGAGGTCCGCGGCTCCAACGGGGCTTATTACAAGGTAAATACCGGCTCGGCCGCGCGCTGTCGCCGCGGACAGCCCGCCGCACGGTGCGGGACACCAGCCCGAGGGTCTCGGACTCCAGCGGCGTGTTCCGACCCGCTCCGGAACCCCGTCGTTAGCTTGTACCAGCATTGCTAGCCGGAGTTAGCTTGCTAAGCTAGCGTCGGTGAGCAGCTCTGGACCCAGAGACTTTTATCAAACACTCAGTGTGTGTGTGTGTCTGTGTGTGTTTGTGTGTGTGTGTCTGTGTGTGTGAACTAACACGACCTCGTGTTCGACGAACGTGAAACTCGTGGAGGTTCGAGCTGTTGCTAACTGCGCTCGATGTTTTTGCGTTAGCTTCCTGGAGCTAAATAAAAGTTAGCCATCTTTGCTAGTTGACGTCAAGACGTGAAGCTACATGGGAGCCGAGCGATGGTTTATTCGGGTGTTCGGGTCGTGTAGCTGCCCGGGATTCGAACGTATAACGGTTCTTTGACAGTGTGGGGCGTTTACGAAGCTGTGTTTGTGGCCATGACAGAGATTTCTTGTGAAAACACCTCGTCTGCGTCTATTATCTGACACCTCATCATGCCCGAGCTATTTTCTGTGTGTGTGTGTGTGTGTGTGTGTGTGTGTGTGTGTGTGTGTGTGTGTGAGCCAGCTGTTCCTTGTCAATCCTGACCGGCTGCCATGTCAGTGGAGGGGGTCACCGACACCACAGACTATTTCTAGACTTGCTGTGTAAAGTCTCTTCTCCTCTATCTCCTATCTCCCTCTCATCACCTTCGCCACCCTGATTCCTCCTTCCTTCCTTCCTTCCTTCCTTCCTCCTCTCCTCCTCTCAGTTCAGGCCTCGTGAGTCACTTGGTCCTGAGTTTTAAAGCTGTAGTTCAACTTCCACATTGTTCTCCTCTAGTTCCTCTGTTGGAATCTGTTTTTCATTTAACACTCACCCGTCAGCATCAAACCCTCTGATACCTTTTTTCATGATTTGTGACGTTTTTGTGGAACTGATCTGTGGAATTCGATGTCTCACTCCCATATTTACGGCGACGTGCAGTAAGGAAGGAAGTGACAAGTGAATCTCAACCTTGTGATGACGTAAACCTTGAGAACAGGGTCACGGATCATAGTCTAACCAGTTCAAAGTCTCAGTCATTTTCTTAAATACCTCATCTCCTATTGTGTTTAACGTAGCATATAAATAAACCTAACTTGACTTAATGAGAAGGGAGAACATAACATCCAGTACAAATTGTGTTTTGACACCCGTGCAGCTTGTCAGTAGGACACAGGTGGGCTTTAGCTAAACTTAGAATATTACAGACTTAACATAACATGATGTCTGGGCTCCAGACTTCGGAGGACATTGTTAAAATTGCTGTATTTCGTCGCATAAAGTGAATGGATAACGTGTAAAACACAGAAGAAAGGAATGTACTCGGCTTCCTTTGTGCCGCGTGCTTTGGCACTTAGCGTGCCCTTAAATTACAAATACTAGACACTTTTGGCATGTAACACATGGCTTATACCAGCATAGCACACCCAGAATACCCAAAGAAATTCCCCTGTGCCCCAGGGTGTGGAGTCATGCAGATTATTTTAGTTTATTTGCTCAGGCTTCCAGCTATCTGTAAATAAATATTCCACCTCTTTAGCAAATTAGATGGGAGTCGAATTTTGTTTGTTAGACTCAAAGCATTGATATATTTCATCTGAAACAACAATTACATGCACAGAACAAGTGGTTATTAGTGTTTTTTTGTAAGGAAACTAGAGATAAACTGGAAAGTGAATGTTTAAGTAAGTTTCCAAGCAAATATTCCAGTTGATCAACCATCAGAGGAGTTGCTGATTATTTTTCTGTCAACTGACTGATCGTCAAACTTCTAAAAGCCACATTATGATATAATATTTATATATAATCGGTAAAATAGAACAGTCGTGTTTCAGATTTTCACTCACCTTGAAGCTCTGCACCTCCCAGTAAATCATTTATGTCTTTCACAAGGTTCCTTCAGGAATCACAGTATTTTCCTCCGTGTTCCTCAGTTGAACTCTAATAAGTTGCTCTTCAGTTGTGTCAGATGTTCTCACAGCTTTGTGTCTGTCTGTCTTGCAGGGCCTTGTCAAAGATATCCACGATGATTCTCTCACCATTGCCTTTGAGAACAAGTGAGTCGTATTCCAGCTGAAGTCATTAATCATGTCAGGTTCAAGATATTTATGACAAATGAAGCGAGCACCGTGTTTTAACAAGGCTGGAAACTACTTTTATTTTCAGTTGGCAGCCAGAACGCCAGGTGCCCTTCAGTGATGTCAGGTTGCCCCCACCCACCGACGCCAAGAAGGAGATTGGAGAGGGCGAGGAGGTGGAGGTGAGGAGTTAACACATGTGGTCTTTCTCTTTATTTTGATTTTCCTTTCTCGTCTGTCTCCGTTGGTGGTCTTACTCTGTCTTCATCTCCTGGCAGATCCTCTCCAGAGCAAATGATCAGGAGCCCTGTGGTTGGTGGCTGGCTAAAGTTTGCATGATGAAGGGAGACGTGAGTGTTATTCATTGTTAACACTGTTATTAATTATTGTATTATTGTGATATAATCAATGTAGTAAAATTCATTTCACACACACTTGATGTCAGTAGATGTGGTTTTACACTCTGAACCGCTCTGTGCTTTCAGTTCTATGTGATTGAGTACGCAGCATTCGATGCCACCTACAACGAGATTGTGACCTTTGAGCGTGTGCGTCCCGTCAACACCAACAAGGCCATCACCAAGAACTCCTTTTACAAGTGCTCAGTCCCGGTTTCTCAGGACCTACAAGAAGCGTATGTACAACACGACAGGGGTGGTGGACAAAGCTTGTGTGTTTCATGATTCACATAGTATTTATACTTTTGATTGGACCTTTTAAAAGTATTTAATTGATCTTGTATCACAGGTGCCAGATAGAGAACGCCCATAAGGACTTCAAGAAAGCCGTGGGAGCCTGTCGCATCTCTTACTGCCCAGAGACCAGCCAACTAGTGATTGTGGTAACTGTTGTGCCTTAATCCTGTCGTCAGTATGTTTGTGCGCTGGATGACTCTCCTGTGCATTTCTTCTTCGTCGTCATCAACAGAGAAGCAGCTCCATGTATGTCAATAATTCATTCTTTTATTTTGTGTGTGTGTCTAGTCCACCAATGAGACAACAGTGAAGCGTGTGTCTTTGCTGAGTGACATGCACCTGCGCAGTCTCAGGACCAAGCTGCTTCTGATGTCACGCAACCAGGAAGCTACAAAACACCTGGAGGTCAGTGAGTAACCATGGAAACCAGCTTAGTACCCAGTTGTCATATGATCATGTACCACGTTCATTTGTGTTTTATGTAAGTACAACTAGTGTTGCTCGGAACAGTCCTGTGACATATTTCAAATGATTACAACGTGTTTTGACAACAAATCAAACTGTGACATGCATTTTCTCTTTTTTTGTTCAGAGCTCCAGGCAGCTGGTGTCGTCCTTCCAGGAGGAGTTCGTCGTGAGAATGGATCTGATGGGTCTGGCCATCGGCAGCCACGGCAGCAACATCCAGCAAGCTCGGAAAGTTCCCGGTGTCACTGCCATCGAACTGGATGAGGAGACTGGCACTTTCAGGATTTATGGGGAGGTAGGGTGGATGCCTGACGGAGTGGTGCTTGAAGCTTGAGAGGAAAGGAGTGAATGAACATTTGAACTTGTGTATGCACTGAAACAATCATACGTGGAATATAAATATGTCTCCTCCTGACTTTGCCTGTTTTTTAGTTGAATGTATAATGAATACCATTACTGTGTTTTCTTCTAGAATGCGGAGGCGGTGAAGAAGGCCAGGGGCTTCCTGGAGTTTCTGGAGGATTCTGTCCAGGTGCCAAGGAACTTCGTTGGTATGTGGACCTGCACATTTCCTGCTTGAGAATGGAAATCCAGAACATTTCTGTTGACCAGCAGCTGGAAATTAGGCGCTCTGTGTGCTGTGCATTTTTATAGGTGTATGTCTCCAACTTTGAAAAAACCTTTTACTAAGTGTTTTTTATCCTGGGTCTGATCTTACTGAATATTATTTGATCATTTTAAAATGTTTCCATCTATTTATATTTGTATATTTCTGCCCTAATAATGTCTAATGTGTGATTTTCAAACTGCTTTTAATTGTTTCCCGTTTGACTTTGATTCTTAATTTTTATTTTGTTTAGCACATTATAACTGTGTTTTAGGTACTGTGCATATTAAGTTGATTTTTTTTCATCTGTAACTTTTTATTATTATTCAGATACCATGATTATTAACTCTATATTTACAAAATTAGTTTCGTGCTTTCAGTTTGTTGGTCAATCTGCTCTTTTTTAACTTACAACTGCATCTCATGCTCTCGTCCTTTTACGCTGTTGTCTCCAGGCAAAGTGATCGGTAAGAACGGCAAAGTCATCCAGGAGATTGTGGACAAGTCTGGTGTGGTGAGGGTGAGGATAGAAGGAGACAATGACAACAAGCAGCCCCGACAGGAAGTAAGTCTGCTACAGCAGCATGTTCACAAAAAACCACAAGTTTCATACTACTACACAAATGATGTTCACTCATTCCCATACTAACAGTGCGTTGTTTTTGTGTGTTTTGTTGACACAGGGAATGGTCCCCTTCACCTTTGTTGGTACTAAGGAGAGTATTGGCAATGTTCAGGTCTTGCTGGAGTACCACATCTCTTACCTCAATGTAAGTACAGTCTGCATGTGTGTTTGTGAAGCATGTTCATTTATATTGTTTTTACCAATTCTTTTTTTATTCGATGTCACAGCTTCGATTTTCTGCAACCCTCTCTAATGCTTACCAGTGTTTCATTCATCAAAAGCATGAATTGATGCATGTTGGAATAATCTACACACAAACAACCGAACTCACATTTATCTGGCTGTCAGCAGCACCGCCTCGTAACCCGTGCTTAAATCTTTAAAAAACATTTGACTTTGTGCTGTGCAGGAATATAACATTTAAAGATTTGTCAAATGTTTTGTTTGTGCGTCTCTGCTGATGAAGAAGAGATGAAAACCACAAACCTCACTCTAACTTGTATGAATAAAAAACAGCACCTCTGTTAAAATACACTAAATTCAACATTTATTGTTAATCACACTAAAAAAGAATCAATGATCGCCTTGTTGCTCTGTGGTGTGTATTTTTCTGTGTGTATATATGTTGCTCTGTTTATGCATGTGCATGGTCTGTGCCACGTCAGTGTGTTTGTTTGCACTTGTGTGTAGGACATAGTGGAGCTTCTTACCGAGGGCCAGCGACTCGAGGAAGAGCTGAGGCTGAATCTGGATTTTACACAGGGAACCAGCCTAGCAAGATTCAGAATAAGCAACAGCATGCACACTGGATGTGATATAGATGTGTGTATGACTGCATGTGTATCCAGTGATAACCCTTTCTAAGAGATCTGATTATCTGAAAATGATAAATTATTATAATCTTATTATAGTCTTCTGTCTCTTTTTTTCTTTCCCCCGTCTCTTTCACTTTATTTGAATATTTTCACTCATTTCTTTTTCCCCCAGGAGGTTGAGCAGCTTCGTCTGGAGAGGATGCAGATTGACGAGCAGTTGCGTCAGATCACCCAGGGTTACCGACCCACTGACAGGGAGAGAGGAGAGAGAGGGGACAGAGGAGAGAGGGGGGACAGAGGAGAGAGAGGGGACAGAGGAGAGGGCAGCTCCAATGCCTCCTCGTCCTCCTTACATGCCGGACGCTCCTACAACAGTCGTGGCCGTGGACGCAGAGGCCACAGCTACAGCACTGGATATGGTAGGCACCTTTAAAATCAGCTTATATGCGTCCAGGCACTGTTTTTAAATAGTCTGTGCACAAATTATATATATTTTAATAAAAACAAAGTCCTCCAGTATGTCTGCATCCGTCCTAACCTCTCTTTTGTGGCGATCTCTCTGTCTCTTTGTTCAGGTACCAACTCAGAGCAGTCCAACGCCTCTGAGACCGATTCAGAGCGTAAGGAGGAACTCAGTGACTGGTCCCTGGCTGGGGAGGACCAGGACAGGTGAATGTTTTCAAACCATTGAACCCAAAGATGCACAAACATGTTCATGTCCAATTAAAGGAAGTTTTGTCAGCCTGACAGTCTTGTGTTATGAAGCTGTTGATTATGTGGCAGTGATTAGTGTGAGATGTTGATTGGCTAACTAACTGACTTCCAGGGACAGGGAGAGAGGTCAGCGGCCACAGAGAGATGGTCGTCGGAGGCCGGGACCCGGCAGAGGCCGTGGAGGAAGAGGAAGAGGAGGAAGAGGATACAGCAACAGTTATGGTAAAATATACCATCATACACTTTTCACACCAAACGTAGTGCACACGGATCTGTTGTCACAGGAAGGCTGAGTAAACAATACGAAGCACTGAGTAACCAGCGCTTTTACGTTAACTTGTTTGTGATGTTCCCTGTGACTCTGCAGCAGGACCCCAGGGCCACGAGGATAACAATGCCTACGGAGTCCTGGAGACAAACACTGAGACCGACCACACAGCCGATACCGATGCCAGCGAGTCAAACTTGCCCACAAATCGCCGCAGAAGGTCTCGGCGACGCAGAACCGACGAGGACGCCACACTGATGGACGGCATGAGCGAGTCGGACAACGCCTCAATGAGTGAAAATGGAATAGGTATGGAAGTCACGTGATCTATAATAGTAATAAACGTGATTTGTCCTAGTTGTCTAAATGTTTATTCTTGGATCTGACTGTTGCTGTCAGAGTTTCAGTTAAAGTGTGGAATCAGTCAGTGCAGTGTAATGTAAAGTTTTAAGCCCCAATTCAAATCGCTGTCTTTGTGATGACAACAACCCGTAGATGACCCGGAAGCTAAATCTCAGCGTCGCAACCGTAGTCGACGTCGCCGCATCCGCCTGCCTGAGGAGAGGCAGCCAGGTAACCATGACGACTTCCAGTGTGCTCACCCCTGGTCCTTGCTCTGAATGGCTTCTTGAAAAAGTTGTACCCCAGGTCTCGTGTTTGTTTGTGTGTCTCCAACTTACTAAACTAAAACTTTTCTGTAACAGCATTTCCTCCTAAATTTAGCATTGGAGAGTAAACATGCATCTCCCGTGTGTTATTTTGGCCTCATTCACTAATAACTCGGCCACAACTTGTTTTTGTGTCGTCATTTACGCAAACATCAGCCGTGACTGTTTTTATAATGTTCGCTCCTCACAGACTTTTGCTCTGTGTCGCTCAACTTGTGTAACTTTCTGAAAACTGACAACCATGCCTGCTTCTTCTCACGGTGATCGCACAGGTGTTAATATTCCCTCACCTTGCACTGCCACCATTGTTTGTGTTCAGCTTCTCTACAGGGAGAGCGAGATGTGCCGTCGTCCTCATCGTGAGGAAGTTCCAAACATGGGGCAGATTTCTTTAGAGCTGAGCAGCCGACGCAGCATCTCGGCCTCTGTCTTATTTGACCGTTGATTTCCTTTCCTCTCGTCTTGTTTAGTGACTGTGGCTGACTACATATCCAGGGCTGAGTCTCAGAGCAGACAGACGACGTCCAGCGACCCCAAGAAAAACAAGGATGTGGTTAGTACTCGAACCAAAGTGATAAAATGATTGTTGGTAGACCCCAGTTAACCTTTATTAGAAGAAAATGACGTCATACAAAGACATATAAATACAATTATTGGACTATAGACACGACCTAAAGCTTATATAGAACAACACATAATTCATGATCATGTCATCATTACAATATTAAATATTGAGCATTGCCAGGTTGGGGTTTACACAGCGTGTGCGTGGCCCCTCTGATTCTTTTGCCTGAAAACATTCACGACTTGTCTGTGCCGCGTCTCTCCAGGCTCAGGTGGAAACCATCGCTGAGCACAGCCCCCCGTCTCCCCCGGCAACCACCAATGGCTCCAACGACAGCAACGCCGCTGCTGTCGGCGAGGGCGGCGGCGGCGGCAGCAGCAGCAAAGCTCCCAGGTCTCCCAGTGAGAGGCCTGCCAAAGTGTCCTACGAGGACTCAAACCCACAGCCCGTTGTTAACGGACTCTCCTAGTCAGACAGCATCAAAGGAAATGGTTTCAAATATTTGAACATGTTTGGCTGCGCTGAATTTAATCTCACTGTCTCTCGGAGCAGCCCTCGTCTAAATACAAAAAGCACTGTTCTTTTTTTTTTTTTTTTACGTTACGAATATTTGAAACCTGTTTCACTGTGCAAGTTTTAGAGGTCTAACCCTAAACCCCATTTTACATGTGTTCTGTTCCAACTATCCACTTTACTACATTTTTTTTACAATAGTTCTTCCTGTATGAGCTTGCCAAAGATAGTCAAACACACTCAGACGTACATACATCTCTATTCAACTGTACCTCTCGGTCCACTCTTCATTGAGAGCTCAGGGGGAGGTCGGACTGAATGCAGTATTTGTAAAAAAAAAAAAACGCAGACAGGGATTCCATTCGAACCCATTACTGTGGTATGACTTGAGCAGTTGTGTTTTTATCGGTATAAACAACATCATAGCAGGGTTTTAGAATAAGATATATATATGCCTTTTAACAGGCAGATGCAGAGAGAAGCTTCCACACCCTTCTTCAGGATGTTTTGATGAAAAGTTGTTTGTGACTCCGGCGTTCTGCGCGAGCAGCGCCGCGGTGCACACTCGTTTGTCGGAAACCCCAAGTATGTCTGACATACATGTGATCAGCTGTTGTGCCTTGAGAGTAGATTCAACATGTCGTTGCCTGGCTCTGCACACCATCTGAGATCCGCTCGCTCATTTCCGTGTCACTCGGTCGCCTCCACCTGTTCCCAGCGGAACCAGAGCAGCTGTCTCCTTTGTGCTTCATGTACTGGCACTGTCGGCAGGTGCAGGCCAACACTGAGACCCTGATAGGATTTCAGAGGCATATCTTTTTTAATTCAGATGTGTCTATTCTTAATGTTTGTGGGGCAAATGAGTCCAGTTATCTGAGTTTGACATTAGCTGCTTTGTTTTTCAATATGCAACCACTTTGGTCATAGAAGAGATGTTACTACAGAGTGTCTGGAAAAGAGAAACAATGGAGGAGTTGTTTTCTTTGCACTGAAACTTAACCTTTTTCTTTGTTTAAAAAAAAGTTGATTGTAGTCGAGTCTGGAAAGTCACCTGTTACTGTTTCGTGCTGGACAGAGATGTAGCCTCGGTGCTTGGTTTCCTGGAAACATCTCATTGTTTAACATCTGCGTTTTCATCAAATATGAAATTATACTGTTTGAGATGAACAGATTCAAAGCACATTGTTTTATCCTTTGAGATTTCCCCTCTTCCATGCCCACTGAAACAGAAGTCCTGTTGCAGCAGCGAGAACCAGACGAGCCTGGTGTTGAGATGTTTCTGGAAAACCAAGCCAATGTGACGACGAAGTCATTTTCAGGATTCTTCCACAGACCAACTGGTTGGAAACTTGTAATGACTGTTCTATTTAGGAAGGAGATTTATTTGGTTTATTTATTTAAAAAGTGTACAGTATTTAAAAAAAACAAAAGAAAAAAAATAAGAGAAGCTCTTCTTTTTCTTGACACAACATGTTGCAGAGGGGTTATTTTGGAGACACAAGACAATTTGGACTACTGAGGGTTGTGACATCCAGTATGTTTTTTTTTTAAGGATCATTCTGGTTGGTTGATGTGCAATATGTTTTGTATGCAGGTAGTTCTTAAATAAACTTGATCTTCTGTATAGATCTAAAACCCGACTGTGCTCTGTTGCTGCCACATCACTTCACAGGAGCATTTTCACCCATCAAATTATTACAATCATGAAGATACGAATTCAAAAAAGTCAAGTTTAGAAGTACGTTCACAACAAGTCTGTTTTGAAAATGAAGGTGAGCATTTTTCTAGTTGTGAGCCGCTGGACTTCTCCACGTGTTGCGGCTCAAGCCCTCTGCTACGTGTCTTCCTGTCGTTCTCACCCATTCACACTTAAATCTGTCATTTCAATTAAAGCAATAAATGTCCTAAAATAATAATATATGTCTCTATGTAGTTGTAAAGAGTTTCTGTTCACTTTAACTGTTCCTTCCATCCATACTGGTCACAAGAGAAATCTCCCAAAGCTCAAATGATGCCTGACAGTATGAGTGGGTATGATCCTTTAGTGCAGTGTTTGTAGTGTGCAAAAAATATTTGTATGTACATTGACGTGACAAAAAACTACGAGCTTCAGTTAATTCAATAAAGAATTCACAAAATACAAACATAATGAGGAGGGGGGGGCTCTCATAACAATTTATACAGTGTGATTTTATTTGAGAACAATCAGTTAGAAAAGTGGTGATCACTCAGTTCAAGATCAACAATAGTGTGAAATCACATTAATGTCTGATCAGCATTTTCATCTCTATTTCTTCATCTGTCCATCCATCAGATCCTTCGCTTCATTTATCTTTGCTGCGAGGTACGGAGATCCACCTGCGACACACACGGGAGAAAACTGCATTCATCAGTCTTTGCAGTAAAGTGTTTATACGTTCTTATTAGAACGAACTGTAAAACCTTTCAGTGACGGCAGCCTCCACATTTACTGTTGGCCTGTGAATCATTTCCTCCGTAACAAATCATTGTTGAGAGTGAAACTTATACCAAAGCAGACGAGGGCAGCGTGCTACAGATCCTATGAGTACTTTTTAAAATAACAGCTGATGCCAGATCAGAACTTTTAAAGCTTCTTCTCACCTCTATCTGGATGGTTCAGGATCATCAATTTTCTGTGGGCTTCTCTGATCTTATTTTTATTGGCTGTGGGACTGGAAATCAAAGACACATCATCAATTATTATTGTGATAATCTGTGCAGTGAGATGCTGCACAAAGTTTGTCTGATGCACATTTTAAAACTAGAGTTGAGAAAGTATGAGAATAAGCAGAATAAGAAGTTAATAAAAGCAACTTAAGGTCGCCCAAAAACCAGAGGAAACGTGGGTCTTCAGTTTAAACTTTAATATGTAGAATAACTCAGTCGTAAACTGTTTCACAGCTCCGGGGCGGCTACATCAAAAACACGACGGAGTTAACTTCAACTGTGGGAGCAGCAGTGTTGGTGTGTGACGTGGGAAAGAGTGAACACGTACCTGACACCTAAAACCAGGGCAGCTTCTCTCTTGTTCATCTTTGGTTCAAACCCACCTCTGTAGAACCCTCCTCCAAAAGCCTGCGACAACATATTCCGTCAACATCTCACCACTGGATCCAAACACTTGTGATAAACTCATTCACACATACACTAGTACTCACAGGTACTGTGTGTGTACCTGGTTCCTACTCACCGTCGTGGGGAAGCTCTGAAGAGCCTGTTTCATCTGAGGCTCCATCTGCTTCATGGCCTGAATGGCATAACGACCTGCGAGACAAACAGGAGAGAGAGGTGGATAACTACAGTACCGCACTCATATTCACTTTATGAGGCACAGCTGGCTAAAAGTAACGCAGTCTGATACAGCAGACCTGCAACGATCTGACCTCCACGAAGGTCAAAGTGTTCGGATTCTATTCGGCCCAGCGAGGAGGTTTCATGCTGCTGTTGAACTGTGTTGTTCTATTTTAACTTGTGTTGTTGTTATTTAGTCTGAATTTGATGAGAGGTGAAAAGTCTCTGTGAACCACTGAAGACTCCGTGATGTGGAGGACACAGAAACATCTGTACAGATAAACACCCGGTGCCAGATGTGTCTTCTTTCTATGAGTTCACTGAGAGTTTGTTCTTCTTAAACCCAGTTTTATAGACTTTTTTTAAAAAACTTGTTCATTGATTGTTATCGTCAGATTCCTGTTACATATTAAGTGTTCAAGTTGTCACGTGACACAGCTCTATATTTAACCATTTCATCTGAACACCACCTGAACGTGTCTGTCTGTCACATCACATCCTGCGAACTCTTATTTCTCTTATATTTACTTTTCTCGCTGTCAAAGCACTTTGTAAACTCTGTGTTTTTTTAAAGAGCGCTGTAGAAACGAACGAACGCGTCTTAATTATACGACATATAAATAAATAAGGAAGTCACCTGCGAACCCGGCGGCTGCCAGAGCCAGTCCCACTGCCGCCAAGGAGCTGGCCTGCAGAGAGACAGAGAGCAGACATGAGGGTTCACACAGAGCTGCAGATGTAAACACACGCGTCACACGGAGTCTCGCTCCAGCTGCTCGCCGCACTGACGCCGGTGACAGTCAGGAGGCAAAGCTGTGCACCGAGCGTGAGGCGGTCGATCACACGATCACCGGGTTCGCGTCGCGTCAAGGCTGCACGAGAGCGCACACGAGTGAAGCTAACGTTAGCCTAGCCGTGTGGAACGGACGCCGTCTCGCGTCCCGGTGGATTCGTGAGTCTGGAGCCGTTTACGGAAGATGTCTGCGTCCACAGAGCCGCAGGTCAGACCCACCATGGCTGTGTGTTCAGGTCCGTGTCCGCTGGAGATCAGGATCCTAAAGTTTGACCTCTCATCCTCATGCCGCCCTGCTCCTCTGTTTATGCCGGAAACGGAAGGGGGACTGTCGTAAAAGCAGCAGAGTTGCCAGATTTGACTGAATTGTTAAAACAGAAGCTGCTCAGAGTCAATAATAATTATGTATCCTCAGTGAAATCCATGTAAACGTTTCCTAACATGTAGAATTAAAGTCCTACATTAAAAACCGTGCAATGTTATGATGATCTTGTGCAATAGCTAAAACTGTGGGTTTTTAATTCGTGCACCTGAGTAAGATAAGATGAGATGATATTGAATACTATCATATTGAATAAATTAGGCAATCAAATGAATTAAAAATAAAACTTAAGTAAAGATACAGAGAATGTGTACACAGTATACACCTTTCATTACAGACAGAAATATAATTTGTAAAGTAGTTGACTTGGGTAAAGTGCAGTGGTATATGTTGCACGGTGATGTGTGCTGTGCATTGTGTACAAGGAGATATTGAAATAAACATATGCACATTCATGCATTTGTATATAAATGTAATGCGTTTTATATATATAAATATATAAATGGGTATAATTTGTAGTACCATATATTGTAACTATCATGATATATGTATCTGCAGAAACAGGTTCACAATTGTGTACCATTGATATGAATATTAAAATATAAATATGTACCTATATAAATAGGTGAATTGAACAATAAGATGCATAAATATATAACAACATAATTCATACAGATTAAATCACAAGTAATGTGCAAGTCTACATTAATGTACAATAAATAGAGCAAACCATTATCAGTTGATTTTGAAACACCTGCACACATCTGTCCATCCCACCTCTCACATGATGTTACTGTACAGATCAAACTAACGTCTCCACACAAATCTTCATAAACAGTCTTTGGTTTAAAACTCGTGGAAGTAGCCTGAGTTTTGCACCAGGGTTGCCAGGTTGGGCGGAAAACTGCTCCCGAGAGTCTGGCCCCTCCCTTTCCGGGAGTCAGACCAGCGGCGGGCTGCTGTGGGCGGAGCCCGGATTCCAACACCGGTTTCCCGCCTCCAGGGATATTTGAGCCCCGCCCTCCCTCCTCACCTGTTTGCTGGTTCTCAGGTGAACTCTAATCCAAGATGGACGTCCACACAGAGCTGTGAGAGGGTAGGTTCAGTTTGACCTTACAATGATCGTCTAAAAACTTAATTTGACACCTTTAAAAATAATAAGCTAACCGTCTCGTGTTAGCTAACCATCTCGTGTTAGCTTACTGTCTTGTGTTAGCAAACTGTCTCGTGTTAGCAAACTGTCTTGTGTTAGCTAACTGTCTCGTGTTAGCAAACTGTCTCGTGTTAGCAAACTGTCTTGTGTTAGCTAACTTTCTAATTTTAGCAAACTGTCTCATTTGAGCAAACTGTCTAATTTTAGCAAACCGTCTCATGTTAGCAAACCGTCTCGTGTTAGCAAACTGTCTCATGGTAGCAAACTGTCTCGTGTTAGCAAACCGTCTCGTGTTAGCAAACTGTCTCATGGTAGCA